TACTGATGCATAGACCTAATCAAGTCCCCAGGTTGCAGTCCCACGTCCGTGAGAAAGCTACGTCACCTCCATCGCTACTGTATTGTCTGCTATGCTGTTTAGCGCTGGCTTTTCTGATTCATGATTTTCCCTGTTGAAATAAAGTTCAATAAATTACTTTTCTGCAACAAATTTAGCAAATATAAATTGAACAAACCAAAACTATTTCCCAATAAAAAGTTCAAATATTTTTAATAATAGAAAGAAATTTGACTCCTGGGAAAGATAGCCAAGTAGAGGAATAGGAACCTTTAAAGCTTATCATCAGAAATACACAACCAGAAGTCAAGCTTATAAATTCCATGATATTACCAACAGAATTGTAGTAGCCAACCTAGATTTAAAAACACAAAGAATTGCCAAGTTTCAGTTTTTTGTTTCAATTTCCACCTTTACTAAACCTTTTGTAATTTTATTTTATTTTATTTTTTTAAATATATTTTATTGATTTTTTACAGAGAGGAAGGGAGAGAGATAGAGAGTTAGAAACATCGATCAGCTGCCTCCCGCACATCTCCCATTGGGGATGTGCCCGCAACCCAGGTACATGCCCTCGACCGGAATCGAACCCGGGACCCCTCAGTCCGCAGGCCGACGCTCTATCCACTGAGCCAAACCGGTTTTGGCGACCTTTTGTAATTTTAAAATAAGGAACATATATATGTGGCTGAGGTTCATTCATGTTAGGACTTTACATAAGATTTTACATATGGAGTAGAGCAGGATAGCTACTAAATGAGGCATGGGAAGAGCAGGGCCGTAGTTGTTCTAGCACCTAGACTGCTGAGTGAGCCTAGAGAAGTCTCTGTATCTCGTTTCCTCATCTTTAAAACAAAGGGACTAAAATAAGTTTTATAAAAAGTTTTCCACCTCTGGCTGGGTGGCTTAGTTGGCTGAAGTGTTGTCCAGTGCAACAAAAGGTTGTGGATTTGATTCCTGGTCAGGGCACACACCCAGGCTTCAGGTTTGATCCCTGGTTGGGCATGTATGGGAGGCAACTGATTGATATTTCTCCTTTTCCTCTCTCTCTCAAATCAATAAAAACATATCTCGGGCGAGGATTTAAAAAAATATGGTTTCCATATACTTTGAATATTCCATGGCTATACAATTCTATACTGATGAAAACCATGTATTACATATTTAAGAATTAAATTGATTAACTGTAACTAGACCCAGAATACTAATAATAGATTAGTATCGAGCAGACAAGGACTATTAAATTCAGACGCAGACAGGGATGGATAGATTTGGAAACTCAAGACTACAGTTTGTTGCTACAAATCCTGATCCTCCTTCTAGGCCACTGCCAGCTGAGAAAGTCTATAATCAGTCTGGACTTTTCCTACCACTCCAACTTCAACTACTAACCTTCCCCAAACCACAAACTAGTTTACTTGTTAACCTATCAACACATTTATATTTCCCCAACTCTCTTGTCTTCCTTTTCTCTGACTAACCAAGATCAAATCTAATCTTATTTTGTTGAACATTCCCAGAACACTCCTGGTGTGAAAAGATGTCTCCTAATATTGAAATTATAGCCATAATCTATACATTTAATTCAATAAGCATATAATGCTTTGTGATACCTCTAGAATGATTTTCATCTTATTTACAATCAACACTATTTAACTTTTCACACTTTTATGCTTGTCTTCCACCTAAACTGAAAACTTCTTGTCTTTTTGTTTTTCCACAGTACGTTGTACAAGGCAGGACTTTACCATTAATATTTAAAGCAGAATAGAGCTTGAGCAAACATTCTAAACTGTCTATTGAAAACCCAAGAAGACAAGTTAGCATAGAAAATGATGGTTTCATTAAAAGTTGACCTGGCATGAATACTGTAAGCTTTATTTACATTATTAAGAGCAGCTTAGCACTCTAGCCATGTGAGTTCTATCAGTTCTGTCTACACAAAATACTGTGGGAGAAATCATAGACAAAGAAGCATTCAAAAGAGGACCCCATCCATCCAGAGGTAGAAGAGTGAGAACATGATAAGCCGTTATCATACTAAGAAAATGATGCCCAAATCCCAAATGCAATATTCACTGTACCATTTGGCACAAATTTTCAACAATACTGAATTACATTTATCTGTTTAGTTCTAGAATAAATAAGGAATTCCCATCTACATATTTTTAAAGTATATAAAGAAAAGAGCAAAAGCCACAAATAAGTAGAGAGCAATGCCTAAGAATTTAAGTTAGATCCTTTAGTCTTAAAATAATTACTCACCTTGGGGCTGAATCTACAGAGGATGAAGATGGGACCTTGGAAACTTGACAGTTTGCTGCGGCAGCCAGCTTTAAGGCAGACGATGGAACAGCACTTAAAGTCCTAGGTATGTGTCGTGCATTTAAGGGGGCAATAGAGTTTACAGTGGCAACTGATGAAGGTACAGTTAATCGAATGTTGTTCCCAATCAGAACCTGAGTTGTTGCAGAATTGGCAGCAGTTACTGGATGACTCAGTGCACTGTGGGAACTTGAAGTCTGTGTAATGTTTGAAGGCTGTAACAAAGTTGAACCTGCTGCTGACGAACTTATATGTACTGGTGCTGTTGGTGTAGTACTACTGAGGTGTAAGCCCTTGTATACTCCTAGAGAAAAAGAAAGAAGCATCTAAACAATGTGCAATTTGGCTGTTTATTATAGGTATGTGTTACAAATCTTATCAAAACCATTTAAATGTCATTATCCTTACCTGAGGCTGGAAGGACGCCATTCACCCCAATCCCAAGCACCACATCATCCTTCATCTTGAATCCCATCAGTTGTTCTGATGTCACCAAAGCAGAAGCAGCAAATTGAGCACTAGCAGAATCCAAAGTCTTGGAAACAAAACCCTAAAAAGAAAATAAAAAACAAATCTAATCAGCATCACTTAGTTACAAATTAATATTAAAGCTACACCGGTATAGCAAAATCAGTATGAATATAAACAAAAGTGGAAAACCACTCAAATATCTTTCTCTCCCTTGACAGTCAAATTTGAAGAATGTTCTAGTAATTTTATAACTCAAGGATTATGAATTTTGATCTTTATATGTGACAATATATAACATGGACATGTCAATTACCAAAACCATCCTCCTATAACGTGGAAATAAACCTCCAACACAAAGTATTGCACAAGAAATAAGCTAGTAAACCATTTCAGTGATCTGCAAGTACATACAATGAATAAATGTAGGTAAACTTCTTTCACCTAACATACCATATATACACACATAGACACACCTTTGGGATAGTAAGATAACTATCCCTTTAGAATGGAAGTAACAAAATATCATATCAGAACTTAGCCTAGAAATTAAGAGGTCCTTGAATTTCTTACATGAATTTTTCTTCCAAGATGCATAGAGACTTAAATCTCAGCCTTTAAGCCTTAAATGTGTTCAAATGGCTTTAGGTTTAAAAGTGATTTCTTCTAAAAGAAGTATAATAATTTTTAATAAATTGTAATAATAATTAAAATAACAAGATAATGAGTTAGGTGTCAATGGGATTATATATTAAAGACGTATATCAGACTACAGGTCAGACTTAAAGACAGGGTCTCCATCTCATATAACTATGCTTTTTAGTTTTACTTTTTAAAATAGGGAGCAGAGACAACAGCTTCTATACTCACCTGTAATGTTCTTTCTAAACCCTGTATAGAATGGCTATGATGTAGATTCAGGTGAAAGCCACTTTTCTGCTGGTTAGATGCAAGGTTCTATGACAACAGTTGGTAATTAGAGATGAACTCTGGTGGGAAACAATGAGGGATAATCATAAGACAGACAAATCCCTCACCTGTGAAGTGTTGGTGGAGGAATTACTATTTGCTTGCTGTTGCTGAATTTGTGCAAGCTGCTGTTTCTGCATTAGTGCCAGTTGCTGTTGATGTTGCTGGTATTGTTCGGCTGTAAATGCTGAACATAAAATGAGGAAACACTTTATAAAAATGCACAATACCATACACTTTTGACAATAGTAAAATTTCAGCATCAAAAAAAGTCTGTGCAAAATTAAAGCATTTGATAAAAGCTCATGGTCCTGCTAAAGATCACTTTCAAATGAAAATTTAAGCTTACAACCACATTTCACAAGAGTGGGTTGAATCTAAAGAAAAACAAAATTAAACTTCCTGAGTTAAACATAGGAAAGAGAACTGCTCACTTCCCAAGTTGCAGAACCATTATTACTGTAAGCTGCCACACTCGAGTAAAATGGAAATACCAGCTTTTTAAAAAATCCACATATCTGAAATTCAACTTTGCACTGAGCTTGAGAAGAAATCTGATAATTACCATTAGGTTTCTAATTTACTCATATTACTGTCCCAATGCATTCAGATAGCAATCCCTAACATAACTGTTCTACATATTTTCTAATTTTAGTTATTACAAATATTTCCTCTATATAAAACATAAGGTTGTTGTTGGTTTATTACCTTTCTTTTTTATTTTAAAGAACCCATTCTTTAAGTTTAACACTGGAAAAAAAGAGGCTCCATATGTTAATTAATTTTCCCCACTCAAATAACCCACCTGGAAAAAATCCAGTCAATAAGAACGGAGTTGTTTATGTTGATTTACTGTACAGAATGATGTCTGAGGAAAGACACTGTGTTATGCTACTTATGTTTGTCTATGGAGAGCTCAGTTCTAAAAAAAACAAACAAAAAAATGTTCATTTATTACCCCCCAAAAAGTGTGTTCAGTTTTTAAAAAGGAAACCTTTTATCTTTTTTTGATTTCGCCAATTAAAAAAGGAAAAAAAAAAAGCACATACAATCACAACATCTGACCTTAAAGGCTTCTTTAAGAAGCCTGCAATGTTTAGGTAAGAATTATTTCAAAACAAAACAAAAAAAGGGTTATCATGCATCCCTGGGTATCAGGGAATCTATAATAAATCATGCAAATTTCCTCAATCTCAAGTTGAATGTTTTCAAAATACTGCCACCTAATTTGTTGTTGTTTTGATGATTTATCTAGATTATCACTTCATCAAGTTTTGTAGTTTTCACATAACTCATGAAGAATCTTTATCTACCAGTATACAGCGTCCACCTTGTACAACTACAACATGTTTAGGTAGAAATTCTACCATATTTTGAATGGATCAGAAAATCATGAAAGAAGTTAGTATCTACACCAGCTCTTAAACTTGAGTTGAACTAAGTTTTTGGGCAACAAGAACAAAAAAATAATTTCTTTTGATTTTTAAATTCTGTGTTATAAATCTATTTAATTGATATCTGTTCTTTGATGAGTTTTTCTGTGTTTGAAATCCTCAGATCTGATTCCTACAGGGAAGATTTTTATTACTAATAGGATAATCCCTGAATATTGACATAAAAAAGTAACTTTCTGTCAGCACCACCATTTCCATATAACAGAAATGTGTTGAATCAGAACTTGAAGAAAATCTACAAAAATTTATTCTGGTTTATAATTAATATAATATTATTAGTTTTGCTAATATGTTCTTGAGATTTACACTTTAATTTCCTAAATTTGAGGAATTGCATAAGTCTTGAATTTCCTTAGTAGGGAATGCTCAGTAAGTTTTTTAAAAAAGGAACCATTCTGGAAGGTCAGGTCAGTACAGACCTAGAAAATCAATACTTTAGCATTCACTAAAAACCTATATATACAAAACTCCATTTATATAAATGGAAATTTTCTGTTGTTGATCTTTGCTAGTATTTGTGTATGTGTTTTTTCCTTAGTTCAATCTCTATTTTTTTCTCATCTTTATTAATGTCAAGTGTTCAGTATAGTAGACAGACATATATGTTTGTGTGTGGTTTAATAAAAAATTTAGCAATAATTGGAAGTTGATTTGAATAAAGGTTCCAAATATTTTTGCCCTATTTAAATCAACATTTTAATGCTTGGTCTCTGAGGGTTTCGTGACTTTCAGTTTTTAACAACTGTTAACTTCCTCCTGAGAACAGATTTAGAAATAACAATGCACCTGACATTTTAGATCACTGTTAGCCCATTTCTTAGATATCTCTATATTTTAGAGTTTAGTTCTAAAATTTTCTCTGGATATTTTTGATAAATGATCTTGATGAACTGTACAGATAATGTATGAGCTGGAAGCAATGGTAGTAAAAACCATGAGTCTGGGGGCCAAGACATCTTGATTGTTATTTTAGTTCTCAGGTCTATCATAACTAGTAGAGTATACCTAGGCAGGTTACTTAACCTTTTGGGACTCAGTATGTTCATCTAAAATATAGAAGAGATTAAATAGGTGATGATTGTAGTCCTTTTTAGGCATGAAATGCTAAGATTTTAAATTTCTTCTGAGACATAAAATTCCAATCCAAAAGGCTGTGTAAATGAAAGGAAAGCTTGGTAAGGTAGTAAACTGGGCCAAGTACAATCTGAACTGGGTTTTACATTATTATTTATACAGAAAACCAAGAACACCTGGATGTCATTATAATTCAAAGTGCAAGCAAATGCTAAGCGGAAATAAATAAAAATGACCATATTTCCCTAAATCTCTATCAAGGTAGAAAGTTTTTAGGTTGTATGTCTAACCTCCAAATATTATGGTGTGGTAAAGTTTGCAATTCACACAAAGATGGACAAGATGGTTTTGTAGACAGCATCAAAATCATTTCACAGAACCAAAAATTTTTAAATTAGGAGGGATCCTTATAGTGATTTACTCCTACAACCTCCTAATAGAGATGAAGAGACTTTCATTCGAGGTCACAAAGATATTTACTAGATGACGGGGAAAAACCCACCCCCAAACCAATGAGATTTTCAATATGGAAAGATATAGGCAAGTTTGTTTTAGATTTAGTATTATTTATATGAGAGAATCAAATTTTATGTACTGATAGTGTGAATCAAGTATTTAAAAAATCTTGTATATTCAGCACCTAATAAACAGGAGTCTAGGGCAGGCAGTGAAGAAGAGTGATGTGAGGGACACAATTAAAAGCTGAGAATTATAAAGGGGCACAAAAGGACTTCAAATATTTGAAGGACACTTTGATGTTGGAGATCAAGAAAACATATTCATGTGCTTCCAAAGGCAAAACAGGAACCAGAATATTTAAATTTAAGGAGGTAGCTTTTGTCCAATATATGGACAAACTTCTAAGCAAGACACCCAAGTGTACAATAACCTGATTAAGTAAGCTGTTGAATTTGCCATCACTAGAGGCAGAGGTCAGAAACTGTCTGGGGGTAGGAATTTAGATGAAATAATCTAAGATTTTACGAGTCCAATTCTTATACAAGGAAATAACTGGTAGCTCAGGGTTCTGCCCTTTAGGTCACATTCCTCTAGCTGGAGCAGATCAACTAAAATGATCTAAGTGCAGGTGGGGAGGGTGACAGGTACTTAGGAAAAAATAAACAATTTAAAAATTCAGTTTTAGAAAATGGAGTCTAGATTACCAAAATGTGTATTTTGTTAAAAACCAACAATAACAACAACAACAAAAATCCTTAACAAACCCAAACACCTATTTTAAAAGATACCCCTCAATTACACGTTCTTTGAGCAGCATACAGGCAAGAAGTTTAATATAAGAAAAAAGTTAACTTTGAAGAAATAAATATAAAATGAAATGACTCCAAACAGTATTAAAGTATGAACATCTAATCAGTAAGCTTGAATTGATAAAGTTTAGATTGAGGTTTATAACATTTATCAGCCACAGAGAAATCCAATTTGAAAACAGAAGTTTGGTAACACATTTAATGGCAAAACATGACTGAACCTGAATTCATTTGGCTACAAATGACTTGAACATGAAATTATTTATGGTCAGACATTCTGCTTAGTATGACTACTCTTGTGTGTATCTGTAAAACTGTAGATCATCTGTTAATGTATTTTACTAGGGGTTCTAGTTGAGATTGTTGAGGATGCAATTCTGAATTTTGAAACACATTTAGATAAAGATTAAAGTCTTGTAGATTTACAAAATCCAACAAGAAAATATTCAGTGCTCAAATCTAGAGTTCCTTTTCTATAGTAAAATTAAAATTTTATGTTACAAACTCAAGTAAATTGCATTAAGTAAACTATAGATATTGAGACTTAGAATATAATATTCTAGCTACAAATTTCCTTTTCACTTATGAAAATAAAGTCTTTAGTGCAGAAATGTGAGCTTAGAAAACTGATTTAGTTTGCTGATGAAATTTCACTGGGAGCTAGGAATTCAAATCCTGAACATATAATGGTGGTTTAAAAATCACTTTTCTGTTTTTAGTCTTTTTGAATTATATAGAGTCCTTTCTAGTTATGATAAAAGGTGTTAACTGACATGTGGTATCTCCCAAACTCAAATACATACAAATAATACGTAGTCACTGAACAAAGACTACATTTCAAAGGTGCTTTTATCAGTTAAAAAAAAATTTGCAAACCGTTCAAACCACATATTAAGATTATTAAAAATGCAATTTATCTGTAAGTGCTAAAATCTAGTCTTGAAAATTATAAATACACATATAGTAAGCCTTCCTAAGTCCCTCAACATTATGTCATTCTGCTGTATAGTATCCAAAGGACAAAGCACTGTAGCATCTGACTAACCAGATTACCCATTTGGCCACACAACTATGCAAGAAGGTCAAGATTGGGAAGCAAAAAAGATTCTGAGTAACTAAAAGAGAGACTACAAAAGTTAGTGTGCTAAACCTCATTCCCTTTACTAAAAATAATGGGCTCCTGATATCCTCTTTTAGAATTTCCTATTTGAAAACGAGAATAATTAAGCCCTTATAGATGATTATTTAGAAAAGGGAAAATCAGTCCAGAGGGCATCACTACACCACAGCACACATTAGTTAACATTTAAAACAATGACAGAATAATAAAAAACGTCTAAATCAAAATCCACCAATTTGGGTTGAACAGCAGGCTAAGTGTATCAACTGACTCATATCTCATATAATGGTAAGTTTGAAAGCTGGTAAAGTAAAAGTTAACTCATACAAAATCCTCGAGAGTGCATCATGTGATACAGACCCATTTCTTTCAATAAGCCCAACACAGCCAGTTATTCTTCTGACATCAGACTAGATTCGAGTTTCTGTGGTTGAGTATCAGATGAAGTAGCATCTGTGGGCCATGTTATATAAAACCCCTCCCACAAAACTTTAAAACTACAATTACACTGCTTTAAGTGAGATAATTAACCCATGAATGAAGCATCAATGCAGGCACTGATGCTATCAGGAGAAAATAAAGATTCACTTCTCCCATTCCCATAGTGGCCACTTCAGCAAATACATTCTTTTAGTAGAATTATATTCAGAATCCTGTATAACATTTGAACTGCTAATTTTTTTTTTTTTCTTCTCCAGGGGCCTATAGTTGAATTCACTTAAAAGTATGTTTGATGGAACTCCACTGTAATGCACTTTACAGAGCATAAAGAGAAAAGCTTTAGGTTTCTGGAATATTCACATATATGAAAGAAAAAAGTGATACTCTACAGCAATCTGTAGGCATCTATTCTCCAAGCATAAGGAAGCTCTAGTAAAATTGAAGGGAAAACTAAAAATAATTATGTGCAACAGAAAAAAACGGATAAACCCATTTTAAAAAAGGCATATCACATATATAAAGTAAAGAAATAATTTAAAAAAATTAGAATTTACTGAAGATTTTTTTCACCTAAACTTTTGGTAATACTTCTGCTCAATGTTCACCTTTTAATATTCTTTGGCCAACACAAATCAAGTAAGTTTTACAGTACCAATGCTTACTTAAGTTGTATAGCAAAACAATTTACATTAAAAAGATCACTACAAGAACCTAAGGATGGTTACACAATTCAACTTCTCTATTCTAAGAGGTGGAAAAGATGGGGATTGATGGAATATGCCAATTTTCAATGAGAACTGTCAAAGAATTTTACATAGCTTAAAAATCTTTATCAGGGGAAACATATTACAAGTTTATACATTTAGAATCTCTACACCCACAGTATAAACAAGTCCTCCATTCTGTTTAAGACTATAAAAGCAGAAACTGACTCTTCATAATATAGACTGAAATGAATGGGATTATAGATAATCTGTTAAACCTCAGAAAATTTTGATTATCTTCTAGTTAATTTCTGAAAAGATTATTTTTCTTATGAGCTGAAAAGACTTCCACTTCATAGAACTACTTTTTTTCCAACTACAAAGCAAATTATTTATGAAATCTTTTCTGGAGGTCTTTAAGAATAAACACATTTTCATATTTATTAGAAGGTTTTACTGTAGCCTTACCACATAATTAGGGGAACAGAATAAATATCTTTATAGTCCTTTCTAAAACTGTATTTAAGTTATCTTCACAAAAATCCGGAGTAATATAATTATATAATATTAACCAATTAACTACCACGCATCCAAAACGGAAACCATCCCCACACGCCACGATATTTTGAATTTAATTTAAAAAATCAATTTGCAATGAATATTATAAAAATAAATATATTACTCACAATTCTGGTGTTCTTGAATATTTTCAGCTGAAAATTCTCATGAAAAATGATTTTAAAGTTGGTCAGGGCTGCCATTTAGGGAAAACATTTTTTTTATAGACGCGCCTGGCGTGTGTGGCAGGTCCCCCTGCTTGCGTCTACAGACGCTTATGGCGTACAATAGGTTAACAGTGGATTTCTATAATCTACATGCCTCAAAAAACACATTTATTGCTTTCAAATAGAAAGCTAAACTTTTAGAAATATTTTAAGTAGACAGCATTTATTTTAGACACATTTCACAAAGTAGCCATAATGCTACAGTAAATATCTAAAAATGTTTCTGAAATTATTAAAATAATCTTTTAAATATTGTTCTGTGAAAAATTACTTTTTCTCTTACAAATTACTCTGAATTACTGTGACAGATAAAACTTTGCATGTCTATCAATTTAATTTGCTGGTCTACTTTTAAGCAGTCTAAGTGAAAGACTAAAGAAATGAGCAATAATTTATGGTCCATTTTTTTTCATATTATTTTGAAAATATAATTGCTCAATCTTGTGGTTCCCAGGAAAACAAATTTTATACATTAAATACAGGATGGGGGAAAAATAGTTGTACAGTTGTGGGTATGCAAAACACTTGAGTTTATTTATGTATTATTATTTATTATATTATTTTCCATATGAACAACTGTAAACCTACTTTTGTCCCACCCTGTAGTAATAAACCACCCCTTTGTATGTGGTTTTGTTTAAATGAAATCATTTGTACAAACAGGATTCAAATAAATACTTAAACCTAGGTCTTTCTTTTTCTTAACTACTTTGAGAAAAGGACTTTTAGTCATTAATATAATAAGCCACATATTCAAAAAATTGATAAGCCTGACATTTCCATAGAAATGACATTATAACAAATAAACATACCAAAGTGTGCTGAACCACTGCTACTTTTACTTTGCGTAGAGGTACTGCATGTCTGGGTCCCAGGTTGTGCTGTTCCTGTTCGAGTTAAACTTCTATATAATTTTCTACAGGAGAGTTCATCATTGTCACTGTCATGTAGGAATGGTGTCCGAGGCCTAAAATGCCGCCATCTACATGACTTGATATTGACTAGTATCTGACTGAGGTCTTTAGAGAAAGATTTGTCCGAGGTATTTGTTTCTGAGGTAATGGCAGACTGATTGACTGGAGAATGTTGTGGTGAGGAAAGCATTTCCAAATCCAGATGGCGAAACATACTATCATAGTCTGAGTGAGCTCTGTCCAGTAAGACCCTATTAAAAATAAGGCAGGAAACATGTATGTAAAATAGCTATTCAAAGTTTGTTTAAAAATTGTTTTTCTTTCTCTCCCCCAACTCCAAAAAGCCATTTCCTATTGAATATTTAAATTTGATTATTGCAATATTTGGCTATAATTTCAGTATCTAATAAAGGTTTTTTCTTTTACATTACAATGATCTGATTAAATAAAAGAGTACTCCACCTCAAAGAATAAGGTAAATATTTTATAACAGTAAGAGTTGTAACAGTTCTAAGGGTTGGTCGATCAGTTTAAGTTACTTGTAAAATGTGAAAATACCTTTCTTTTCAAATTACTTTTAAACCAAAGATTTTCATTTCCATTACAAAGCACCAGAACACTTTGTAAAATGTTGCTAACAGATTTGTTCTCATATTTAAGTAAAGATTCCTTTTTTGGGGGGTGGGGGGGGGGTGGGCGGGAGGGCGAGAGGAGGTAGGAGAAAAGCATTAAAGGATATGTGATCTTTGGGATATGTTATACCATTAAAATTTCTAATGGATAAAATATTTGAGATGTTACTAATATAAACTTTATAAATGACCTTATCATAAAATGTTAACACAAATCAATACTAGTATAGAATAAAATATAGCCAAAATAGAGAATTCTCACAACTACTGATGTCAACATAATGATATGGGAAAAAGTACGAAATAAAATGTATTTTGGAGATGGAAGATTTAATTTTGGTTGGTGAAAACACAAAGCATGATGTATGATAGACCTGTACACTTGAAACCAATGTAATTTATTAACATTGTCACCCCAATAGCTTTAATAAAATTAAAAAATATGTATTTTGATGCCAGGATAATTCTAAAGTAATGTTTAAGTGATAAGAACTTCAAACTAAAACTAAAAAAATAAAACAAACATATGTCTAAGCCATTAATTTAACATAAATCATATCCCTAAACTTCTTAAAAGTACCTTATCTATTCTGCCTTTTAATTTTTTTCATATTTTACTTGAAAGCTTTCTTTTTCTTTGCTTTTATGCATTCTGCAATTCCTTCCCTCCCCTCATACAACTTCTCATACAAAGGCATAGATTATGTTGGAATTCTATCAGGTCTAAACAAAGAAAGGAAAGCGATTAGATCCTGACAATCTGGAATGTCAAGATCAGGTCATACATGAAACCTGGAGCCTTTTCACTGACAAGTTAAACAACTCTGTACACTATATATGACACTTCTTAGTCTATTTAATCCTTTTTTTTCATTATTTTCCAGAATTCCTGAAACGTTTGTAGTTTCTTTAACTTAATACAATTTATGCAATCATAACTTACACTTGCCTTTATCTGGTACCTTTTGTCAGAATTGTATCATGCATTAAAAGCTATATAAGAACCAGGAAGGCAAAGTATTTCAAACAAAAAATCAGTCAAGAATAGCAAATGGGAACAAATGAGCTACCCTAACCTTCACTTGAAATTTTAAATTCAACTACCCTACTTTCTAAAATGTCTCTATGCTTACAATACAAAAATACCTTACCTTCCACCGCGCCCAACCCGTCTTCGTGCAAATCCAATACACCTTTGGGGTACGGTGAGGGTAGTTAAGCAGTATCTGTATCGCACATCTCCTAATCCTCCATCCTTAGGACTAGTCCAAGGCCAGTTGCCAGTCTGGTCTAAGTGAGGCTTAAAAAAAAAAAAAATCTTATTTGGTCAGTTAAAGGTAAACAGTTTGTTATTTAAAAAGAAAGCCTGAAACTTACAGCATAGTACTGACAGCCTGCTTTCCTATGGAAAGCAAATGGACCATCAGGATCATTCTCTTCTTCAGCTTCCGAAGAACCAGACAAAACCTTTAAGTAAAATGCAATGAGTCAAAAACACGTGATTTCCTACATTTCTCCTCTATATTAATAGAAAAATTCTTAAATTTACCTGGGAGAGAGGTTCTTCATCTGAGCTGGGGAAATCATACTGATTTAAATCTTTAGCATTAAAGACTGGCAGTGCAGCAGGACTCGTCTGTTGAGGAGCAGCAACAGCAGATGATGGTAAGACTTTGGGCTTCTTTTCATATTTACGTTTTGGTCGGATAAGATCGGCTTTATCTTGCTGCAATAAAGTTATGAGTTAATCAAACAACAGAAAACCATGTTCAACAAACCCGCAGTTTTGGGGAAGTTTTTAAAAGAAGTTTACTACTATAATGAAGGCATTCGTAATCATAGGAAGATACAAGACTCTTATGTTCTGTCATCTTACATTGTAAAGTCTTAGAATTCGGTTGATCTTTGTGAAAACATGAATATGTTCCTTCAACCTAAACACAATCTGATAAAGTATTTTGTTCCAATTAAATAAGTAAAAGAATAAAAACGCTCCAGCTTCTAAAACCCTGTAACTGCAATTAGCATTTACTGCTGGCTCCTGTTTCTTTTTCTTAATTTCCTATAAAAATACTAGAAGATAATTAAAAAAGGGGGGATATCTAGTTTTTATTCTAAAAAATTAACAAATCAATATGGGGAAAATATAATGAAAAAAATTTACATATACAGAGCAGACTTCATATTACTGTTAACATAGTGGAAATTAAGCCATAATACTAAGGTGTTAGGAAAATAAAGAGTAGTAAAGAATTACTACCAGCTAAATAATGAAGTCAGTCTGGAGTGGTGAATTTTGAGCAGTTTTAAAGGATAAAGATATGAAATTATTAAACAGGGGAAACACAGGGTAAAATACACAGGTAAGAGTGAGTGAGCTGATGAACAAAGGGTATGTTAGAAATATGTATGGCAGGGATGGCAGACTAGGAGAGGCATGAATTTGATGTGCAGGAAAAAGGAAAGAGAGATTATAGGCAAAAAATGGCATTTGTTGCCAAGAAAAATCATGGCAAGTACCATGGTTATGCAAATATGCTAAATATTTGTCAGGTTTTATGCAGTTTAGAGTATTATGGTTTCTAGGAAAAAGTTAATTACAAAGTTAATTATTATTTACAAGCTCTACTGTTTTATCAACAGGCCAGTCTTGAATGAAAAGTTGGCTTTGCAGCATATTTCATGGTAGGATATAGTTTTCTTTTTCATTCTGATTTTAATGATAAAATACCACTCCATTATCAGCTACTATAATCACAAAACTTTGTATCACCTTATTAACTTTAAACTCCTTCACATCCACTGCTTCCTGGTGTTTAAATTGACTGCTATTAGTAATAGGGATGATGGGGATGGCATAAGTAGGTTTCACTGGCTGTCTCTGTGCCATAACCTCAGACATAATCTCTCCATTGTAGTCACCCAAATTATACCTGAAATTATAAAAAATAAAGTTTAAAAAGTTAGTTCTGTAGTAATTATCCTTCTGACTATTAATAACAACTGAGATATAATTATAAATATTGATTAGACTTGGTAAAATTAGTTAAACTTCGATTTATTGGCCGAACGTTCATTAACATGGGAGATTATATAATTCCTTTTGTTTCTTCCTTTTACTTTTTGGCTTATAACTTTATCTTAGCACCATAAATAGAAGACTGTGGGTAAAAAAAGCAAAAGCTCAAAAATTTTTTTTAAATTTTTATTTATTGATTTAAGAGAGAAAGGAAGAAAGGGGGCAGGGAGAGAGAGAAAGAGAGAGAGAGAAAGAAACATCTATGGGTTGTTCCACTTATTTATGCATTCATTGGTTGATTCTTGTATGTGCCCAGGGATCGAATCTGCAACCCTGTCATATCAGGATGATGCTGCAACTAACTGAGCCACCTGGTCAGGGCACAAAGGTTCAAATTTTAACTTAGTAGTTTTGGTGAAAGATTTCGTAGAAGTGTTTGAGAAACCAAGATGGTGGCATAGGTAAACACCGGAAATTGCTGCCTCCCACAACAAATTTAAAAATACAACTAAAAGACAAAACGGACATCATCCAGAACCACAGGAAGGCTGGCTGAGTGGAAATTCTACAACTAGAAGGAAAGAGAAAAGCACACTGAGACTCAGAGGAGGTGCGGAAGTGCAGAGGTACGGAGGCGCACGCCGCAAGGGCTGGCAACTGAGGACACGGCTGTCTTTTTGAATGGGGAGGGAGTCACAAGCCCCCGACTGCTCTGAACTCCAGTTCCGGGTGAGTCTCTGGGGACCCAGACTCATACGGGGAGAAACTGGACTGTCTGGCAGTGGGCAGAACTCAGAACTCGAGGGCGGCTTTCTCTCAAAGGTGCTTGCAGCATGACACTGAGACGATGGCCACTTAGGGCAGGGCTGAGGATCAGCCATAGCTGCTTGCTCCACCCTGTTGATTCTCTGAGCCTTTGCATATGAATGCCCTGGCCCTTTGCAATCTGAAAACTACCTAACAAACTGCAGCTGGGCCAGACAGACACAGAACTTCCAAGAGAAGGCCCAAGGCCCCACAGCAGCTTGCATTGCTTCACAGCTGGGCCTCATTTGGGCACCTCCAAACCCCAAACAAGAAAGGGGAATCTGCAGATCTCCTCGTAGCTCCTGCTGGGTAGCCTCAGGCAGAGGCTAAATTAGCACCTCCTTAGATTCAAGAGCCAGTGTACCCAGTGGTCAGAGTGGGACCATCCAATTACAACTCCTCAGATCCATAAGGGACACACTCAGGGGGCAAACTCAGTGAGCACCAAGGCCCCACTGAAGCAAGTCTTGCCTCATAAGGGTGCCTTCAGCACAGAAGTTCTCCCACCATAGACACAGCTGACTCTCACAGCCAATTGGCCTGGAGGTCAATTCTTCCTAGTGATACCTACAACAATCAAGGCTTACCTACAACAAGACTGTGCACAAAGCCCACAAAGGGGTGCACCAAGAGTGTCCACCTCAGGTAATTGGGGAGGCTGAGCCACTGGGCCCTATAGGACACCTAGCACACAAAGCCACTCTACCAACACAGGGAAGCATAAAAAATGCGGAGACAAAGAAACAGGTCACAAATGACAGAAATGGAGGAAAGCAAACAACTGGATATAGAGTTCAAAACCACACTTTTAAGGTTTTTCAAGAACTTTCTAGAAACCACTGATAAATTTAGTAAGACCCTCAAAAAGACCGGTGAGACCACCGATAAATGTAGTGAGACCCTCAAGAAATCTAGTGAGACTCTCGAGGTTATGAAAAAGGACCAACTAGAAATTAAGCATACACTGACTGAAATAAAGGATATTATGCAGATTTCCAACAGCAGACTAGAGGATCGCAAGAATCAAGTCAAGTCAAAGATTTGAAATACGAAGAAGCAAAAAACACCCAACCAGAAAAGAAAAATGAAAAAAGAATCCAAAAATACGAAGACAGTATAAGGAGCCTCTGAGACAGCTTCAAGCGTACCAACATCCGAATTATAGGGGTGCCAGAAGAAGAGAGAGAGCAAGATACTGAAAACCTATTTGAAGAAATAATGACAGGAAACTTCCCCTACCTGGTGAAAGAAATAGACTTACAAGTCCAGGAAGCGCAGAGAACCCCAAACAAAAGGAATCCAAAGAGGACCACACCAAGACACATCATAATTAAAATGCCAAGAGCAAAAGACAAAGAGAGAATCTTAAAAGCAGCAAGAGAAAACCAGTCAGTTACCTACAAGGGAGTACCAATATGACTGTCAGCTGATTTCTCAACAGAAACTTCGCAGGCCAGAAGGGAGTGGCAAGAAATATTCAAAGTAATGAATGCCAAGAACCTACAACCAAGATTACTTTATCCAGCAAAGTTATCATTCAGAATTGAAGGTCAGATAAAGAGCTTCACAGATAAGGAAAAGCTAAAGGAGTTCATCACCACCAAACCAGTATTATATGAAATGCTGAAAGGTATCCTTTAAGAGGAAGAAGAAGAAAAAGGTAAAGATACAAATTATGAACAACAAATACACATCTATCAACAAGTGAATCTAAAAATCAAGTGAATAAATAATCTGATGAACAGAATGAACTGGTGATTGTAATAGAATCAGGGGCATAGAAAGGGAGTGGACTGACTATTCTTGGGGGGGAAAGGGGTGTGGGGGATGCGGGAAGAGACTGGACAAAAATCGTGCACCTATGGATGAGGACAGTGGGGGGTGGGGTGGGTGAGGACAGAGGGTGGGGTGGGAACCGGGTGGAGGGGAGCTATGGGGGGGAAAAAGAGGAACAACTGTAATAATCTGAACAATAAAGATTTAATTAAAAAAGAAAAAAAAAGATTTGGTAAAGATGTTGAAGTTAATGCCTAAGATTAAGAACTTTCTGCTAATTTAAATTGCCTGTGTTATATACAAAACTAATTTTTCTGAACTGAATCACAAGAAATTCAACAGCGGTTTTCTCTGGGGATTGACACTAGGAAACAGGTGAGTAAGGCTTAAAGTTTTCACTGTGTATCTTGCTGAATGGTTATTTGAGTGTTAGGATTATGGCCTTTTCCTTTCTCCTTTATGTTTTTTTAAATCAGTACATTCTAGTAAATAACATAAAAAGTTTAAAATGACAAAATATTCTCTCTTATAGCCATGCACCCACTCACATAAGGACAAAAAAAAGATTTCAAAATGGAAATACCTGACACATTTTAATTTTACTGAATACAATAACTTTTAAAGAAAATAAAGAAAGGAATATATGTAAAATTATACAAAGGATATTATAGCACACATTTAAATAGTCTCTAGTTATTATTAAAAGAAGATATCTCTGGACTAACAGATAATTGCTTAGGAAGTAAATTAACTCAGTATACAAAATGCTTATAGTACCATACTTCCTACTGCTATTAAAATATACTTTACCTCTTTTCCATAATTTCCAGTGTTAAGTGCAATAGCTCCCTTTTACTCTTTTCTCTTCTTTTTATCATCTCTAGAATAGTAACAGCCCGACTTAGATCTCGACGCAGCTTAAGCATTTTTTCGTAAGAGGCTTCATCGTTTTTGCGATTCTGCAAATATAAAGGTCCTTATTTAATGTCAATAAGCACTTCTAGCTAGTGGCATTCTGAACATAGCTACTGATCCTATATAATAAAGAGGTAATATGCAAATTGACCACCACGCCCTTACACAAGATGGCCGTCCCCATGTGGACACAAGATGGCCGCCACAAGATAGCCAGCAGGGGAGGGCAGTTGGGGGCGACCAGGCCAGCAGGGGAGGGCAGTTAGGGGCAATTGGGCTGGGAGGGGAGCAGTTAGGCATCGATCAGGCTGGCAGGGGAATGGTTAGGGGCAATCAGGCAGGCAGGCAGGCGAGCAGTTGGGAGCCAGCAGTCCTGAATTGTGAGAGGGATGTCCAACTGCCGGTTTAGGACATCCCCCGAGGGGTCCCAGATTGGAGAGGGTGCAGGCTGGGCTGAGGGACCACTCCCCTACCCCCAGTGCCAGGTCTCTAGTATATATATTTATTTGAAGGGTTAAGAGAGAATTTTAAAACATTGAAAGGGGGAATGGATCTCCAGGAAATCAAGTTTGTATATGATTTTAAACGGATGAAGATTAAAATATACCAACAGCTCCATAATGAGTCTTAAGGCCAAGTTATTTTAAATTAGTATTTTTCATTATATTGTATATAAAGTCTATTTAAACACAAATTAAAACACAACTTCCAGATACTGAGACATTCATAACTATAAATAGTTTTTCTTACATCAAAAACACGTAAAAAATTTCTCAAATTCACTTACTTTTCGAGTCTGCATTTTTTCAGTTCGTCTTCTAAAAGCCACATAAGGATCATTTGTGCTAGAACCATCTCGCTTTTCTTGTTTTACTGATGGGATAAGAGATGGCCCTCGACAGTTTTTTCTCTTTTTAATCCAGTATTCATAAACTTCTTTAATTAATTCATCATCTTCTTTTAGCAGTAATTTGGCTTCCTGCAGACTGACTGGCTAAATGTAAAATTATTATGTCATTTTCATATAATATACATATATAAGGTTCAAAGGTAATTTCAAATTTAAATGACAACAATAAAAATAACAACAGTATTTACAATAGCAAACACATAGTACCTTACATGCTAGTCATTGAGGTAGACGTTTTATACACATTATTTTATTTAATTTTCACAACAATCCCATGATATTTATCATATCTACTTTACAGATGAGAAAATCGAGGCACAGAGAAATATAAACATACTGCTCAAAACTATACAGGTTATAGTAGGCAGAGATAGGATATAACTTCATGCTTACTAACTCCAGAGCCTGCTCACTTAGCTCTCCCCAACATTATACAATTGCCATATCAATGTAGATAGTTATATAAATACACACACACACACACACACACACACACACACACTTATATATTTTGTACCTGCTGACCACTCCCTTTTTCTAGACGGTCAATCATCTCCTCAAACTGCAATGGGCAGATGTCCATTATCTTTTTCAGTTTATTCACGAATACTTCATCTTCAGAATCCAAATCATAGTCAGGCTGTTCAGCATCCAAACTAAAAGCTGACAGAAGAAGCCATAAGCAATCATTTACTGTGTGCCTTCACTTGACAAACCCTCTCATAGTCGTCTAGACAAAAACAAGACCTATTCTTTCTAAAGAAATAAGATTTTCTTCAAATTTTGTTTGCAGACACTCAATCTAAACTTATAGATATATTTCCTACACTTAAAGTTTAAGAAATGAAATTATATTTACTGTTAATATACATTATAAAAGACAACAGATGTTACTCCACCCTCAAAAGCAAATAAACTAGGAACCCATTATTAAAAACATAGATTATTAAATGTATTGGTTAGACTATATAAAAAGTTTTGTAGCTCATAAAACTTGACAAAATATCAGCGATTTCATATGGTTTGACATATCATAGAAAGATATCTTTATATAAGTTTGTTTCTAGAATATTTAAGTCTTAATTTATATATTATTTAACTTCTTTACCAAAAGTTTAGGGTGTGGTATTTAAAGCTGAAGTGTGAGAAGACACTGCCAACAAGTAATAGTTATCACACAGTGAGTGAATTCCTGGCTAAGGAGGTTTGTTCCCTCATGAGACTGATTCACTGTCATGGTGATAGAAATGTGAGGTGTTTCTTGTATTTGTCAAGATTTGAAAAAAGAGGCAAGCACCACGGCTCTGTATTATCAAATGTCATTTAACTACTTATCAAAATGAGGCAAGGTTGACCATAATAAAACTAAAATATTAAGTAGCTTGACATTGTAATTTCTCACAGCTTTTCCTTGCCCAATTCCTCTTACTAAATTCCCATCACTTTAGAATCCAAATCCTTACAATTACATATATAAGGCCCTTCTTGATCTACTCTGTCCAGTCTCATCCGTACTTTATGACTTAGCAATATAAAAATTCATATTTCATACAGCAAGTTATTTCATGTCTTCAGGCTTTTACATTAACTATTTCTTGCCTGTTCACCTAGCAAATGACTATTTATTCGTTTTAAAACTCAACCTGACATCAACTCCTGTCAAGTATAGCACAGGGAATATAGTCAATAATACAAAATGGGGCAAGAGTAGGTTTACAGTTGTGAGCACCTGAAACAGTTTACTCTTGTATTATTAATTATTGTATGTTTACCCATAAAACTGTAAACCTACCTTTGCCATCCCCTGTACTTATTATCTACCTATGTATGGTATTGTGGGATCGCTGTGTAATTTGTGTAAATGTCTAACCACTATACTGTACACCTGAAACTAATATAAAATAAATATTGAATGTCAACTATAATAAAATAAAAATCAAATATACTATTTTGTTTCATTTTCTATTTTGACCTATATCACACTTCTATGGCATTCCCAATTTCCTAATTAAAGTAAATAAATATTAAGACTCCTTTATAAAAATCTCTGTTAACACCTTCGCACTCTTATTTTTTTTCTTTTTTTTTGTTTATTAATCCTTATTGTTGAGATTATTACAGATGTCCCTCTTTTTTCCCCCCTGTAGCTCCTCTCCACCTGGTTCACACCCCACCCCAGACCCTTGCCACCCTATTGTCTGTGTCCATAGGTACTGCATACATACATATAAGATCTTTGCTAATCTCTTCCCACACCCCCCGCACACACCCTCTTCCCTCTGAGAATCGTCAGTCTGTTCCATTTCCATGCCCGATTCTATTCCAACTACCAGTCTATTCTGTTTATCAGATTTTTTATTCATTTGATTTTTAGATTCAATTGTTGATAGATAATGTATTTGTTGTCACTTTGTTATTCATATTTTTTATCTTTACCTTTTTCTTCTTCATCCTCTTCTTCCTCTTCTTAAAGAATACCCTTCAGCATTTCATAAGACTGGTTTGGTGGTGATGAACTCCTTTAGCTTCTGCTTGTCTGTGAAGCTCTTTATCTGACCTTCAATTCTAAATGATAATTTGCTGGGTAGAGTATTCTTGGTTGTCGGTTCTTGCTATTCATCACTTGGAATATTTCTTGCTACTCCCTTCAGGCCTGCATAGTTTCTGTTGAGAAATCAGCCGACAGTAGTATGGGCACTCCCTTGTAGGTAACTAACTGTTTTTCACTTGCTGCTTTTAAGATTCTCTCTTTGTCTTTTGCCTTTGGCATTTTAATTATGATGTGTCTTGGTGTGGTCCTCTTTGGATTCCTTTTGTTTGGGGTTCTCTGCACTTCCTTGACTTGTAAGTCTATTTCTTTCACCAGGTAGGGGAAGTTTCCTGTCATTATTTCTTCAAATAGGTTTTCAATATCTTGCTCTCTCTCTTCTTCTGGAACCCCGTAATTCGGATATTGGTAGGCTTGAAGTTGTCCCAGAGGCTCCTTATACTATCTTCGTATTTTTGGATTCTTTTTTCATTTTTCTTTTCTGGTTGGGTGTTTTTTGCTTCTTCGTATTCCAAATCTTTGACTTGATTCTTGGGACCCTCTAGTCTGCTGTTGGTCTCTGTATATTATTTTTTATTTCAGTTAGTGTATGTTTAATTTCTGACTGGTCCTTTTCCATTTTTTGGCATTCTTATTAAGATCCTTGAAAGTCTCACTAAGTTCCTCGGAGGTTTCTAGAAGATTCTTGAGTAGCCTTATAACCGTGGTTTTGAACTCTATATCCAGTAGTTTGTTTTCCTCCATTTCTTTCATTTGTGACATGTTTCTCTGTCTCCACATTTTGGCTGCTTCCCTGTGTTTGTTTCTATGTACTGGGTAGCTGCTAAGTCTCCTTGAGTTGATAGAGTGGCCTTGTGTAGTAGATGTCCTATAGTGGTCAGGGGCTCAGCCTCCCCAATTACCTGAAGTGGACACTCTGGGCTTTGTGTACAGTTTTGTTATAGTTGAGCCTTGATTGCTGTTGGTGTTACTGGGAGGAATTGACCTCCAGGCCAATGAGCAATGGAGACCAGCTGCAACTACAGTAGAGAATTGCTGTGCAGGAGACACCCTTATGGAGCAGGACTTGCTTCAGTGGGGCTTTGGTGCTCACTGTGACTGGCCCTTGAGTGTGTCACTTATGGATGTGAAGAGTTGTAATCTGGTATGGTCTCACACTGACCACTAGGTACACTGGCTCTTGGTTCTCCAGGGAGGTGCAAAGTTGCCACTGCCTGGGGCCGCCCAGCAGGAGCTACAGAGAAATCTGCAGATTCCTCTTCTTTGTATGGGGTTTGGAAGTGCCCAGATGAGGCCCAACTGTGAAACAAGACAGGCTGGTGCTGGTGTGGCCTTGGGCCTTTTATTGATAGATTTGGGGCTCCCTGAACCAGCTGCAGCTAGACAGTTTTAGCCTGAGAAAGGAAAGACCATTCATATGCAAAAGCCGCTGAGCACAGCTTGGGTGGGGTTGTAAACTGGGTGGGGCGGGGTCTCAGGGAATCACCTGGGCATAGCAAACAGAAATGGCTGCCAGTCAGCCCTGCACCAGGGAGGTCCCAGCACAGGAACAATGACTGCTGTGAGCACCTCCGTCTGGAAGAAAGCTGCCCCAAGTTCCTGCACAGATGCCAGACAGTCTAGTTGCTCCCCATATGTGTCTGGGTCCCCTAGAGTCTCGCCTGGCACTGGATCTCAGAGGAAGTATGAGTTTGTAAATTCAGTTCATGGTGCTGGCCTTTTAAAAGGAGCAGCTGGGTCTCCAGCAGCCTGTGTGTCACTCTGCTCAATCTGCACTGGTTTTACAGTCCGTAGTTCTTACTGCCCATAGGTACTTCTTTCCCCAGCTCTGGAACCCTGGGCTGGGAGTCTGGTGTGGGTCTGGGACCCCTTGCTGCTCCAGGTGGTCTCCACAGAGGCAATCTCCCTCCTAATTAAAAAAGCAGCACACTCGGGTGCCAGACCAGCCCGTTCCGCATCTCCGCACCTCCTACCAGTCTCAGTGTGCTTTGTTCTTTACTTCTCTAGTTGTAGTACTTCCATTCAGCCAGCTTTCCAGTGGTTCTGGATGATAGTTGTTCTTTATTTCAGTTGTAATTTTGATGTAGTTGTGGGAGGCAGCAAGTACAGGCATTTACCTATGCCAACATCTTGGTTCTCTTTGCACTCTTACTTCCTCTAATGATTTTTCTTGATCTTATTCTATCTGTTACTGCTATGGAAACAGAGCTTTTAGAGATCTCAAAGTGGATTAAAACTTTGACTGCTGGATTAAAAACACTTGTTTTTCTTGTCCCTAACCAAGATAATCCATATTTGTGTTGTTCCATGTGTGACTAATTGGATTTCAATGAACTAAATTAAAAACTCAGTACCTCAGGCACATTAGCCACATTTCAAGCCACAATAGCAACATGTGCCTAGTGATGTACCAGATGGCAAAGATTATAGAACATTTCCATCATCATTAAAAGTTCTATTGAAGAGTGGTGATCTAAATAATCCAGAAAACCAAACTGATAGGGACCATCTAGCAATGTTCTGCCTTCGTAAGGGCATATTTTTAGGGTCTCATTTAGACATTACTTCTGCATCCTCCAGTATAAAATTTATTTTTACTTAGATCAAATCACATTTACAAAGCTTAATTTATGATAAAAACTAAACAAGCTCACCTAATACCAACTTACTTTTGCATTATCAAAATATATCTGACATACTTCTGGCATACAATACATCATCAATGACAAGTCATGTCCAACATATCAGGGAACAGAATTAAGATTGGAAAGGAAAATTTCTATCCTAGGGATCTCAGTTTGTTTCCCACTAAAATGAACAGTATTTGAGAGTTAAATTGCTATTGCCTCTGCAAGAAGCTATTCTTTTAGTTGGTACAAATATATCTAAGATCTTAAAATATAAAGAGCCAATTCTTGTTCAGGTATAAAATATTTAAACCCTAGAGAAAAGCTAACATGAAAAAATTCACTTTAGGATTTCATTTGACTAAAATAAATTCTCAGGCAATGATTAAAGTATAATTTAGCTCCAGCCAAGACTGCAATTCTAACAGCTCAACCACAGCTAATAGAGATGTAATATATTTATCATGGTCCCAGAAATAGGACTGTCT